CTCTGGACCCCATCAGGAGACCAGGACCTGGTTTAGTTCTGACTCTGGGCCCCATCAGGAGACCAGAACCTGGTTTAGTTCTGACTCTGGGCCCCATCAGGAGACCAGAACCTGGCTCTGGTTCTGGGCCCCAGCAGGAGACCAGGACCTGGTTCTCAGAGTCCAGCTGGTCCATCTGGCTCTAACAGGTCATGATGGTTTAGTGGGCAGCAGACTCCCTCACGATTCCCCTCTTTTCCTGTCTGTATCCCTTTAAAAAGAAGCGGGGTACAGATATAGTCTGCTGGAAAATCCGCCTGACCGAGGTGGGTTTGGACCCAGGCTGGCGCTGAGCACGTGCACGTGCACGTTGGTTTTCTGGTCTGACCTGTGATCACAGCTGAGCTGGGGCTGTGTGAAACGCTCCAATCTGAAGGAGGGAAATCTTAATCCAGCTAATGGTGAGAGGGGCTGAGAAACGTGGGGCCTCACAGTGGTGAAAGCTGTGTGAGTGTGAGGCCAGAGACTGAAGCAGTGCACGGGCATCCAGCACACATTAGACTCAAAGTCAGAGTTTGATTTAAAAAAAAGTTAAAGTGCAGAAAGATTGAATAACTTATTTAAATTAAATTAAACAATAAGTATGCCTATGGATTTATTATTGAAATAAATCCATACTCACAAATAATTAGAATAATTATGATATATATATGATATATTATGATATGATATTACAACTATAATAATAATAATTTCCTATATATATATATATATATACATGTATATAGACAGAGAGAGAGAGAGAGAAAAAGACTGTTTTAGGGGACTGAAGTTTTATATTTTCGCTTGAGTTTTCATCTGATATTATTTTTATTAGTGACTAGTCATTTATTGTCTGAATGAGCTGGTGTTTGCAGCCTTCCCTGAACACACTGAATGCATTTAAAGCCGCCTAAAGAGGTTTAAGTCTCATTATGACTGCCTTTCTTTAGTCCAGCACTTCCGTAGCGAGCCTCTTTTCCTTCATCTGTTTTCATCCAGACAGTGTGATGCAGGTAGAAGTGAGGCCTGCAGCCCCAGACCAGCCCCTGATCCAGACCAGCCCCTGATCCAGACCAGCCCC